GTTGCCGAAGGGCCACCAGAGTCAACCGACTCCTCGACCAGGACAACCGACGGGAGGGGAGTGACGTGAGACACACAAGACGGGGCTGGACGGTAAGGGAGAGGAGCAGGGGCTATTGGTGGAGTGGGAACCAGAGACAAGGGCGGGGTAACCGGCAGACCTCGGTGGGGAAAGCAATGGTAGAAGGTGAAAGACTCGTTAAAAATAACGTCACGGGAGTGAGAGAAGCGGAGAGATGGCGGATGGTAAAAGTACCAGTCAGACGCCTTGAGGAGGAAACCAAGGAAGACACACGGGACAGTGCAGGCAGTGAGCTTGTCCGTGCCAGAGGCAGGAATGTGAGCAAGGCAGCCCCAGACGTGGAACGCGGACGCATCACCAGGGAACCCGGTCCAAAGAAGGTTCGGCGAAACTTGCGGCCGCTGGGAGTGCGGCCATAGGTTAAGCTGGTGAGCGGCGTAGTGAACAGCAAACAACCACAGAAAATGGGGTGAACTGGCATGAATCATGGAGGTAGGAGCCACCTCCATGACCAAGCCGATGCGTCGATGAGCAACCCCATTCTGCTGCGGGGAGTCCGACAGGGTGTACGACTGGGTGATGCCCTCCGCACGACAGAATTGGCCAAGCCGACCGGAGGCGAACTCGCCACCACGGTCGAGTGGAGACACAGTACAGGGAGGCTATGACCCATAGGATAAGAAGGTCAGTCACGTCGGCCTTCCGCTCCCAGGGAAACACCGTGGTGTAGCGCATGTAGTCGTCAACAAGCACTAGAAAGTAACGCTCTCGACGCGGCCCAGAGACGGGGGCTCGGCCCCAGATATCCAAGTGCAGGGTCTGAAGTGCCGCAGTAGTAGGGGGAAGTGAGGAGGAGTGAGGAGCATGGCACAGCCGGCCCTCGACACAAGGCGTGCACGGCGGCACAGGCGAGGAAGGAAGGGCAGGGAGGAATGTAGAGAGACCAAAGACAAGACCGTGATGGGACATGTGACGCAGACGCGGGAATGCGGAATGACCTAGCGGTGGTTCCACAGTAGCGACGGGTGAGTGGGCAACCGACACGAGCAAGCCGCAGTGACCTGGGTCGATGTATGCACCTGACGGGACGCCCGGGGTGGGGGATGCAATGTGAAGCGTAACACAGGGTCCCGAGGGAACATGGTCAGAGGAGCACCTGTGGCGGCCTCGGTACAGTTCACGTACCGCTCGTGTCCGAGGAACGTAATGGTAACGCTGAGGTCCTAAAGACAGTCGACACCAACTAGGTTCCTAGAGAGCGAAGGGATGTGCAGGTCTGAAAGAGAACCCGAGAGGACCGCCGGACAGCGAAGGGTGGTGGAGTTATGGGCAACTACCAGACCTAAGGAGGGGTCAGCAAGCGCGACAACGGCAGGGGCGGCAAGAGGCGTGAGCGCAGTGTGGTCGCGGAAGAAGCATGCAGAAGCTCCAGAGTCGAGCGTGAACGAGAGCAAAGCAATAGCGTTCGCTGACAGAGGGGCTAGGGTGGAGCCTAGGCTAAACAAGGCAGGGGTTCCTACGCCAGACACAGCAGGGGAACCTAGAGTACACACAGGGGACACACCTACGCTTGGCTACACCGGGTAATAGGGTCCAGTCACACTAGAGTCATCAGCATAAATGGCATACAAAGCATACCTAATCTGATCAATGTCCATCTCAAAGACATGCACACGACGACGTAACAAGCTGTACCAGTCGGGGGGGGGTCCTGCTTGGGGCCGAAGAGGAGACAAAAGAGGTCGTCGATGCGGCGGTAGCAGCGCGCCGATGTGACCGGGGCGATCACAGGCGGTGCCGCGGTGGGGGCTGGACTGAAGCTGGTACTGGCAGGTGACCACACTGGAGCCACCACCCAACACCGAGTTGCGCCCCCCAGCACCACCAGCACCCCCAGTCCACCACGGTGGAGGGGGTCCGCACGGTGACTGCTGCTGCTGCTACGACGGTTACTGCTACTGCTGAGGCTGCTACTACTGCTGCTGCTGAGGCTGCTGTTACTGCTGCTGCTCCTGGGCACTAGCCCCGGTCCCCTCATCTACACCACCGTCCCCTCCACCACCTCCGCCACCTCCGCCACCTCCGCCACCCCCGCCACCCCCGCCACGCCCGCCACCCCACCTGCCACCACGCCCCCCCCGGGCCCGATGTCTCCTACCCTGACGAGACTGCGCTGAGGCTACCGCAGCGGCCTCAGCAGCAGGGGCCGTCTTAGCAACAGCGGCAAAGACATCACAATAAGTGCACTGGGAGGGAGCACAGCCTTGGAAGGTAGGGACCGCCGCAGTACCGATCGACTGAGCGATAGTGCATTCGCGGGTCTCTATCGTGGTCACGGTAGTGACAAAGTCAATGAGGGTAAGGTCAGCACGGTGGAGGGCAAGGAAGTGGTCGCGGACTATGGCTAGATCGTCAGGAAGGCGCGTGGCAAGGAAGTAGAGGGTAGCGCCGAGGGGGGGAGGCAGTACAAGGAGCTGAGCCTCAGTGCTAGCAGCGCGGTAGCTAGCCTCTTGTGAGAGTACGACCCCGTTCCATTCCTTTCTCCTCTCCATCTCCCCTTTCCATTTCATTCCTCTTTTTATCTTGATTCATTTGGTCTTTATCTCATTCCATTTGGATTCCTATTCCTTCTTGTCCATAAACCTTTGGTTTATCCTGTTATTATCATTATATCACCGACCAAGCTCGGGATGTACTGGCGCGCTATATCTAGCGTAATCCTGCTGTAATCCCTTAAAGCTAATAGCCTCGCGTGGCTATACGCAGAGTGATTCTATTTTCTAGAAGGGTCTATTCCCTTGGGATAGGATAGACCTGGTTACCTGATGTACTTTGGAAGTATAAAAGCACCTTGTATCAATCGATAGTAAAACCTTTCCTCGACACATTCGATTATGTGACACCTCTAGTGCGCACAAGTGAGTGGTGAGATCAGCAACAGTGGGAAAAGCCGCAAGGTCAGGGAAGAGCAGGGATAGGAGGAGACGACTGGTAGAGGCGGAGGAGGGAGTGGAATAGCGTGCAATAATAACATCTAAGTACGCCTGCGCAGTCTCTAGGGCCTGGTAACGGGGCCGCTCAGACAGGGGGAGGGCGCGACTGATAGCAAGCTGCGCAACTGCGTCACGCGACTCCCAGACGGAGCGAGCGAGCTTCGCAGCTGCAAAGGCCTCACGCTCAGCGGGCGTGGGGGCGTCAGAGAGGGCAGCAGGCGGGTCAGGGCAGGGGATCTTACCGTCGACGTGAACGGCCAGAGACTGGCCATCCTGGCACTGTCCCCTCAGCAAGCGGCGGAGGTCGGCGAGCCACGCCTCAGAGACGATTGCCCGACCCTCCGCGTCCAAGCGGAGCACAGCGTCCGCCATCGCCACGGCTATAGCAGGTTACTGCTGCTAGGGGAGGAGGAGGAGAGGGCAGTGGAGACGGCCGTCGGGAGTACCGACACAGAAGGGGGAACCAGGGCTGGCAAGTCGGGGCGGCATAGCAGTACGGCGGCTTAGCGACTCGGCAACTCGGCGACGCGGCGTCTCGGCTACTCGACGGCTCAGCGGCTCGGCTACTCGGCGCGGCGCAGCTCGGCGGCGTAGCTCAGCGGCTCGGCGGCGCAGCGGGCCGGCAGCTCGGCGCGGCGCGGTATGTGGTGATCGGCGCGGCGTAAGGGGGCCGGAGCAAAGTGACGGGGTCGGCGCAGCGTGATGGGGCTGGCGCGGAGTGACGGGGCCGACGCGGCGTGACGGGGCCGGCGCGGTCTAGCGAGGCCGGCGCGGCGGGACGGGGCCGGCGTGGTCTAGAGGGGTCGGCGCGGCGAGAAGGGGCCAGCGCGGTCTAGCGGGGCTGGCGCGGCGTGATAGGGGTCGGCGTGGCGGGACGGGGCCGGCGCGACGGGATGGGGCCGGCGGGACGGGACGGGGCCAGCGCGGCGTGACGGGGCATGGGCTAGGGCGTGGTCTAAGGCTAGGGCTAGGGCTAGGGGCGGAAGCGTAGGCGGGGAGGGGGACCTAACCTAGTGTGATACCATGTTAGAATAACGCAATGAACTAGATTGTGCCATACAGGGAGGTTTTGTGCTGTAGTGCTGTACCCTCTATGAGCATGCACCTATCTAGCATATAACATATACAAATATATATTGATATATTCATATGCCTGTTATCAAATACACCTGGTCTTCAGTTGTGTGCGGAACAATACAGGGCAATCCGGACACGAGTTAGTTTAGTGCGGTTCAGAACGGTGCACCTCAAATCTGAAAACGGGTTCCGGTCGGGTCCTAGGAACATGCTCTCATGTTTGTATTATGTCTGACAATCCAGAGCAGCCAGGCCAAGTCTGTCGGCGCAAGCTCCTTTAGAAGACGATGCCGTAACAAATGGGCTGCTCCAGAATTCAGAACTCACCTGCTATAATGCCCTAGCCCTTTGTGCTAGTGAGTTCCCACACTCTTCGTATTTGTTTCTATTCACTCATTTACAGCTTAGTATAAGAGATTTCCAGAGTTGCGTGTACACAGCCACCATGGCTTTACTGTAGATGTGAGGAGAAAATCTCCACTGCGCCAGTGGGTGCTGTTGACAGCATCTGGATGCCACCCAGCAGCGAGGGCGCAACCAATGTTTGGCTTGTCCCAGTCGGTTGGTGGAGGCTAGTGTGGGTGGCGCCCACCGCTGCGGACAATTCCGGCTGGTGGGGCACTTCTGCTCAATCAGGTGTGTGGAGGGGCGTGGGGGGGATGTGTGACAACCCGAGGGAGGCGGAGGGGGGCGGAGGGATGACAGCGCGGAGCGGAGAGCTAAGGAATCCGTCCCATACCTAGTGGCGGGAAGGCACGATTGCGCGGAGCCAAGCGGACGGATGCGGGGCCAGGCCAGAGGCGTGGCAACCTTGGTTTTGGGTTTGCGCGCAACCACTTCGTCACTGCTCCCTTGCTCGCTTCACAACCCCCACATGCTTCTCCGCCACCACCAGCGCCAACCAAACCCCTTCCTACCCCACCCTGCCATCACACCACCACCACCTCTCTCTTCTCGCCTAATCTTCGTCGGTGAAGGACCTTCAGCACGCATCTTAGAAACTTGGCTTTGTACTTATTTATTTGAACACGACACGTGTTTACGCTGCTGAATCCTTCCGCATCCCAATAAGATTTAGGAACGTCTAGTTCTCGCGAACCGCAAAGCTCGAGATGTACTCTTCCGAACATTCGGGAAGTCCTCGGCACGTGCTTCCGCCGCTGGGTGCGAATCACCACCACCACGTTCCTTCGTCACTCCTCTCCAGACCACCCCCGAGCCATCACCCCTCCTCGTCCATTCTGCGCGACGAGCAGGCGGGGGCGGGTCTAGTGCAACGCGATGCGGCCATGGACACAGGCGCGGGGTCGTCGGGCGTGGACATGGGCGGTCACTTGTCGAGCGGCGCGGGCATCGGCGACCTCATGAGTCAGATGTCGGAGTTCCCGTCACGCAAGATGGGGCATCGCCGCGTCGCTAGCGACAGCCTTCACGGCTTCTGTTTCGGCGGCGGGGGCGTCGCGAACGCGCCGAGCAGCAGCGACGGCATAATGCTGGACGACATGGACGTGGCGTCGGCGGCGGCCGCGGTGGCGGCGACTCTGGGCGGGGCGATGGACGACGCCATGCTCTCTGAGATGGTCGACGCTGCCGCGCACCCGCTCTCGGCGGGGCCGGGCACTTCAGCGGGGGGAGCGCCGAGCGGGTATATGTACCAGGGCGGTAGCATGCAGGCCGACAGCGGCACCAGTGCGGGGGCGGCCAGCAGCAGCGGAGGCGCAGGCGCAGTGGGGGCGGGAGGCGGAATTGGCGGGGGCATCATGGGCGGCGGAGGTGTACCGAGCGGCAGCGGAGGGAACGGCGGGGTGCTGGGAGGGCGTATGGGGTACGGCGGTAGCGGCGCGGCGACAGGGGGAGGGGCGGGGGGCGGCGGGCATTCGCGGAGCTTCTCGGTGGATGACGCGTTCCTCTTTAAGGTGGGGCCGCTCAGGGAGTCGCTCGACCCCGTCCGCTCGCCACTCAACGCCAGCCCGCTGCTCTCGCGCCGATCGCGGCGGGCGGACGGCGTGATGTCGATAAAGGACGAGGTGGACGAGCTGGACGACGACGACGCCGTGCGCCGCGTCCTCGCGTCCAAGAAGGCGGCCGACGGCGACGTCATCGACGCCAAGAAGGCCAAACGGTACGCCCACCTGCCACAGCTGCCCACCGCGCAGCTCACACGTGCCTGCGTGTCCTGCCGCTTACTGTGTCGCGCTGTATTCCGCTGTCCGTCGCGGGCGCCATGCCCGGCGACCTCGAGACTTGCCCCACTGCACTAGCGCCTCGCGCTGACAGCCGAGAACCCGCGTGGTTCATCTGGCACCGCGGAGTGCGTCTGCCGCCGTACCGCCTGCACTCTTCCCCCCCGCGCGCCCCTCGAATAGAGTGCAAACAGCTCGTAGGCTGTGGGCCGCTCGATAGTGCCTCCCCTGCCTTGCCTCCCAGGATGTGCTATCTCTGAACCACTCCGTCCCTCCCTCCCTCCTTCCCTCCCTCCCTCCTGCCCTCCCTCCCTCCTGCCCTCCCTCCCTCCTGCCCTCCCTCCCTCCCTCCGTCCCTCCGTCCCTCCCTCCGTCCCTCCGTCCTCTCCCTCGCTCGCCCACTCGCACGTGCGCTCGCCCGTGGCGCATGGGCACGGCAGCATCTTGGCGAACCGGCTGTCGGCGGCGCGGTCGAAGGAGCGCAAGACGCGGTACATCATGGAGCTGGAGGAGAAGGTGGCGGCGTACGAGAAGCAGGCGCACGCGCTCAAGGCCACGCTCTCCATCCTGCAGGCAAGCACGCCGCGGGGGGGAAGGCCGTGGGGAGGGGGCTGGGGAAGGGGGTAGTCGGTGTTTGGAAGAAGCGAAGGGATGCGGTTAGAGGCTAGGGGGACAGGGTTAAGAAGAGGGGAGAGGAAAATGATGGGGCCTGACGTAGCGCAGCACTCTCTTTGTTGCTACCCCACTATTCTCCCTCATTGCTACATCCGCTGCTCTCTCCCCGATCTCCCGGGACCCTTCCCTCTCTCCCCTTCTCTTCGTCTCCCTCCTTCCATCAACGTTCCCCGCTCCCATGTCTACGTTGCTTTCATATCCATTCCCGCCCACGCCTGCGTCCGTGTGCCCCCGTGCGTGGCGTGGGTGCAGAGGGAGACGACGTCTCTGGCGGAGGCGAACGACGGCATGGCGAAGAAGCTGCAGCTGCTGGAGCAGCTCTACCAGCAGAGCGAAGGTACGCGCACCGCTCCTCTCCCCTCTCTGCCCTTCACATGGTCACGGGTCGTAAGTGCCGAATCTGTGGCTTATTACGCCATTCGCTTTACGTCTGTGCGTTCTCTTTCTCGCAGCGTCATGGGTTCTGGTCTGTGTGAGCCATTGATCCAGCCGTACTCCATGGCCGATGGGCGAAGCACACGGACCACAGCACACTGCGCCACTGACTCCGGCCCACATCTCTCCTTCACATGTTTTGCATTCCCCCCCCACCCCCCCCCTCCCCCCACCCCACCCCCGTGTCTAGCTCCCCTCTTCCTCTCTCTTGTTCCGGTCCATCCCCCTCTCTCCCCCCCCTCTCCCTCTCCCCCTTGTGTTCGCTGTGTGCGTGTGTGCTAACGTGTGGTCTTGATGGGTGTGTGTGTGTGTGGGGGGTGCAGTGGAGAACAAGCATCTGCACGACCAGGTGGAGGTGCTGCGCAAGGCAGCGGGGCTGCCGCCGCTGTCGCCTGTGGGCAATGCGCCCGCCACCTCCAATGCGCTGCTGCCTGGCGCCTCTCACCCGCCCCTCAGCCCCACAGGCGGGGCTCCGCCGTCCCCGCAGGGCTCCATGTCTGTGGACGGCCAAATAGGCCAGCTGCTCAAACTGCTGCAGAACCAGCCACAGGCCGTTCAGGCCCTGCTGGCGGCTCAGCAGCAGCAGCAACAAACGCAGCAGCAGCAACAGCAGCAGCAGCATCATCATCATCATCATCATCAGCAGCAGCAGCAGCAGCAGCAGCAGCAGCAGCAGCAGCAGCAGCAGCAGCAGCAGCAGCAGCAGCAACAGCTTCTGGCACTTTTACAGCAGCAGCAATCAGGCCAATCACTTTCTTTTATTGGACAAGGAGGGCAGCAGCAACAACAGCAGCAACAGCATCAGCAGCAGCCTCCACAGTTGTTTTTAAATCGCACCATGTTCAACGGAATGTCATAGCATGGTTATTGGGTAGGTGTGCTGTCGCTCTGCATCCTGCTTGGTACCATGCCACATTCTGAACATGTGCGCTGGTGCCTTTGTCCTTTCCCTGACAGCACCATCAACTGCCCTTGCTGAACATGCCCTCAGCTGCTGCTTTTGTTCGCTATCATAACACCCATTTCACCTGGCACATCCGCTGCTTGTCATTATGCTTAACTTCACCCACACAAAGAAGTTTGCAATTGCGCGAAGGGTTCATATCTGCTCATTCTGCTTCTAGGAATTGAACTATGCTCTAGTGTATTTTCCTTTTTTCAGCCCACAAGAGCCGTGCTTGCAGTTGATCTGTGGTTCAGTGTTAGGGTAAATGGTATTTTGACTTTATTCCCATGTAGATGTAGGTGATCAAATTTTCTAGACTGACCTATCAAGTGTATGCTTAGGTATGTTCTTACCATGTGTCCTGACTCACGGCATCTGCCAATGTCTTTTTGGTCTTGATATCTTCGAATCCTAAGGGCATGGAACATACAGTTCCGAACAGCATTTGTCCTAAATTTCACCACACTGAACCACGCGGTTATCCAACTTCAGATTGTCAACTTATACATACCGTATTCCCCCGTATACAACACCCCGCAAAATTAAACTCCCATGGGTAGTTTGAGCGGACATGGGTGCTTTATTAAAGTGGATATCAGTGTTAAAATTATATAAGTTATAATTTAATATAGGCTTGGTAGGTTGTTACTGAACCTTTCTGTAGGGGGTACAAACCCCTCCTTGTACTCCCCTCTCTTCCTAATCCAACCACCTTTCTTCTCGACATCCTCTCACCTCCTAGATCCGTTTTTCCTCACGCCATTCCATGGCGGTCTTCTTCCTAGTATCCTAGCCAACCTAGCCTCCTAAGTTTAAGAACCTTTAGTCCTAAGTTTCTAAGATGGTATCAGAGCAGGAGATCCTCCCTGTTGGATCGCCTCCTCACGCTTCCGCAATTTACTCCTCACTCTCATTAGCTCGAGCGGCCATGGCGGCCGCGTTTTGCTGCAGTGGCGACGTCGCGCTGCCACTGGCCGCGTCGTGCCGCGACCGGCTCGACGCGCTGCCGTGGCGTCGGGCCGTCGTTCTGCAGTCGCAGCGTCGACGTCCCGCTGCGGCATCGACGCTGCCTCTGCCGTCGCGACGTCGACGTCCTGCTGCAGCGTCGACGGCGCCGTCGGGCCGCAGCCGGTTGCGTCGACGCTTTGCCGTGGCAGCGTCACCTTGCTGCCGTTGCAGCGTCGGCGTGCCGCCACAGCGTCGACGCCGCGCCCTGGCGGCGTCGTCATGCTGCCGCGGCAGCGTGGATGGGCGGCAGCGGGCAGCACGCCGTCGTAACCGCCACCTGCCCGCCCTCCTGCCAGTAAGCGCCGCGCCACTTATGGCGCGTCGCTGAAGACTCGCCTCGCCCCGCCCCCTCCCCTCCCCCCCCCACCTGCACCTGCTTCCCCTGCATCCCCCCCTTTCTTGCTGCAGCCGATGACTGCCATGTGAGGGACCTCTCCACCGCCGAGGAGACAGGACATGCCGCCGAGAGGGCGGGGGCCGCCGCACCAGCCTCTGTCGTTCGAGCCGCCGGCGCCGCCGCTGTTGCCGCAGGCCTGGAGCCGCCGCACACCGCCGCCGCCGCCGCCGTCGTCACTGTCGCTGCTGCCGCCATTGCCGTCTCAAGGGGCCGTGAGACCTACCCTCTTCCGGAGTCGTTGCGGCTCCTGCTGGGAATGGGGGTGCTGGGCTAGGGGGTGTGGGTGTGGGTGTGGGTGTGGGGGTGTGCGTAGGCTTGACACTACCAAGCCTAGGGGGTGTGTTAAAATTATATAAGTTATAATTTAATATAGGCTTGGTAGGTTGTTACTGAACCTTTCTGTAGGGGGTACAAACCCCTCCTTGTACTCCCCTCTCTTCCTAATCCAACCACCTTTCTTCTCGACATCCTCTCACCTCCTAGATCCGTTTTTCCTCACGCCATTCCATGGCGGTCTTCTTCCTAGTATCCTAGCCAACCTAGCCTCCTAAGTTTAAGAACCTTTAGTCCTAAGTTTCTAAGAATCAGGACCTCAGAAGTCAGGCCAAAAAGGCCTGAAAGCCTGTAAATCAGGGTGTTTTCTAGGGCATACCCTGATTTTTCAGGTTTTGATTTTTGTCAAACCTGAAATTTATGTGTTCCCATTTTCTAAGGCCTGAAAAATAGTATGTTCTTGTTTTACCGAGCCTGACGAATCAGCCTTACTCGAAATTCGCCCTGAATCTGAATCTTATCTGTCAAGGCGAGCTTAAGCACGTGTGAGGGGCATGACTGGTCCTTGACTAGAATCACGCAAGTTCGAGGCGAGGTGGGGCAGGTGTGAGGGGCGTGATTGGTCCTTGACAAAAAAATGACGCAAGTTCGAGGCGAGCTAGAGCAGGTGTGAGGGGCGTGATTGGTCCTTGACCACAATCACGGAACTTCATTGCGAGCTAGAACAGGCGTGGGGGGCGTGATTGGTCCTTGACCAGAATCACGCAAGTTCGAGGCGAGCTGGAGGAGGTGTGAGGGGGTTGATTGGTCCTTCGTTAAAATCATGCAGGAATCTGACGAGAAGAATTGTACGCAGTGAAGTCTGATCCGACCTAAGAATCAGAAACTACAAAAATATAGGCCTGATAAGTCAGACTAAAAAAAACAATTGGCCTGAAAAAACATGCCACGCCCAAAACCAGACCCTGAAAAACATGGGCTCTCACATGGGCGACCCTGAGCAATCAGCCTCCCTAAAACCAATCTGAGGGCCTGGTGGATATTGATAACACCCGCCTTCGGCGATTGCAAACATTTGAACACCCCAGAACATCAGACGTTAGATATCCTACGAATCCCATAGAGAATCAAGTCCTACAACTGCAGATTCTCATACTGCATGATGTTGTTCTACAGATTCTTCTGCACCTTCTCCTACACACGTTGCGCAATGGCACATTCTCCCACTACATCCCCTGCTACAGCGTCTTGGGCAACTCGTGCTGCTTCCTCTCCCATCTTGTGGCTAGTCGTCGGCTTCAGCATCCGCAGCATCACCATCACAGTCTTCAGCATCAGCATCCTCCTCCTCAGGATCCCAAGCATGCCAGATCTCCACATCCTCTTCATTCGGGACTTCATCCCACCAGCGGTCATCGTCGTCCTCCCCAGCAATCCCCTCTGCCGGCCACTCCCGAACAGGCTCATCCAGCGGGCCCTCCCCCTCGCATGCCAGCTCTTCAAGTAGGACGTCAGCAGCGTTATCGTCCTCATCGAAGTCGGGGGCGTCCACGGGGGGCTCAACAAAGCAGTCGTCGTACAGAGGGTTGACGTACTCATCCTCCCCCTCCTCCGCGTGCATATCGTCCATGATCTCCACCTCTGCCTTACTGCGGAGATGGCTCAGGACGAGCCGGTCTTCGGAGCCACTGAGGTCGTTGGCAATACCGCAGGTCCTGAAGCTCTTGCGGATGAGCTCCTCGGGGACTGCATCCCATGAGCGAGCAATCCACTTGAGGATCAGCTCCGGTGGGGGCTTCCTCAGATTTCGTGGAAGACACAGGACACGCATGCTTTTGTTAGTCTTGTCGTTACACTTGCGTTACGCCCAGTAGGAAAAAAACCAGAGACAGTGCTGAAGGAAGTGGACTCTTACAAGGGCCACCTGACGGAGGCGGTGGGAGGATGCGCGAAATGGTTTCATGAACGGGTTCAGGACCTGGGTGACCCAGTCCTGAACATGCTTCTCGTCCATCCAGCCTTGTTCTGGGCGCGGATTATTACTCCTGCGTCAGTAAACAGTTAAACGTGTGTTAGAACTTAAATTACCAAGGCCACTAGAATCGATATCACCTTTGACAATGGGAATATCTTACCAGCAGGGACTTGAATCTTAGGAATAGTCTTCCTTTTGAAGATGACGTATGGTGGGAGCTTCTTCCCCGATGCCGTCACTGCCAGCATCACAGCGAGTCTTTCCTTCTCATAGCCCGCGGTCCTCACGTGAACCGTGCGCCCCCCCTTGTGGTCCAAGGTCCTCTCCTGTGGCATCTCGATGAAGAGCGGCGTCTGGTCCGCGTTCACAATCAGGTCGTCGCTGTAGTTGTTCAGGATGCGCATCAACTTGACGAATTCCCAAAACTTTTCAATCTTCACCCTCATGTCTGCATTCATAAACTCAAGGATACGAGAAGGAATTAGATTGTAGACTCAGGCAATGTCTAAACAGGTAAGGAAGCTTGAACGAATAGCATCCACCGACCAAACTTACCGTCAGCTAATTTCTGACCCATTTTCGTTTTAACGCGGCGTGTTAGACCCCATCGGGCGCGAAACCGGAAGGTCCACCGACTGGACCCGCGCCAGTCCACGCCAGGATAGTGCACCCGCATGTAGGCGCGACTCCACTTCTGCAGCTGCGAGACCGAGATTTCGAGCCCCTTGGACCGATGCCTCAAGAACTGTCGATAGAGAGCCGACTCCATCACGGGGTACTTAGCCGGTCGACCGCCACCGACGAGCCTCTTCCGACAACCAGCCGCAACTCTCAGCCGCTCCCGGGCCTTCTTCCATTCCCGAATGCTAATGGGCTGAACACCTGCAAGCTTCACGAGGGCACGAATAGACAGGTCAGGCTGTGCGTCAAACATCGCGAGCCAATACAGTTTCTCAGTAGCGGAATAGGAGCGACGTGCTCGTTTTGTCATTCTGGTGCGGGGGGACGGTGGATTCACATCGTGGTTGATGGTGGGTCCTCTCGGCCTGACAACGGGTGACGGGAATGAGGGGAAAGTAACACGGGGCAGCGTATGGCACTCCTGGCTAGCACCACTAGCCACCTCGTCGGCAGTTGTGGCATCGTTGCTAGCTGTGCGGAGCGGGCTCCTAGGCAGAGATGAACTAGACGATCGCGGGACATGACGAGTGAAAAATGTCTGCCGGCCATGAGGGCAGCGTTGGGCAAGAAGGCGACTGAGACCAGAGCCCATAGTCATGGCGTTGGTAGGCTAGGAGGATAGGGGCAGAGAGTCCAAGATGCCTTCGACAGTCCATACTGGAGGAGTTTTGAGAGCATCCTGATCTCGGATGCAGAAATGAGGGGACGAAGCGGGCTATACCCCTCGTGAAACGACGAGGGTGGAGAGGAGAGGGACGTGAGCTCCTCCCTTGTCATGCTGCACACGACACCCCCGTCAGGACCATCCAGCGCTCACGCGCTGGACGCATCTTGAAGACTCCGTCAAGATGCCCCATGGTACCCTGCCAGATTCATCGACTCTGGCATGCTGGCATCGAGACGAGGTGCGCTGGCACACATCAGACAGGTAGCTGAGGAATCGGCGCAAACAGAAGACCCTCATTGGCTGCTGAACTCACCCTTGGGTGACACATGATCCCACTTGGTATGCCCCCGAGCC